AGAATAACACACTGAGATTTGGTTTATTATCTTTACATTTTTTATTATAAAAATAATTGGAGTAAGTTCTACTCGATTATTATATTTCAGCCTTTCTAAATTGATTAATTTTTTTAAACAAATGAAATTCGCTCAGCGTATGGTTTAATACTGAGATAACGAAATGTTTGTGGCCTCCAAGATTTTATTGTTTATACACTGCTTGTTTTTGTCATCGTAAGATTGAAAAAAACTTCAAGGAGCCAGCTTTGAGAAGTAAGATGTTTAAGAACTGAACAAGCGGGCACTTAAATGTAAATATTATGTCATTGGATACGCTATGCTTAGATAAATAGCTTGTGAATCAGGGCTTTAGATTATAAAATTCGCACATTATTTTTGAATAGTAAATTTAAATTGCTGCAAATTACCACCGGATAGAATTATGTATATATATATATATATATATATATATATATATATATATATATATATATATATATATATATATATATATATATATATATATATATATACCAGTAGCGTACGCAGGGGGGGAGCAGGGGGAGCGGCCGCTCCCCCTCTGGCCGTTTTCAGCAAAGTGGCGCCTTTTTGGAAACTTTTTAAACTCAAAGTTTTAAACAATGATATTTGTTAAAAAAATATTTTTGGTCGGCACTTCTATGTAAATCACAAGATTTCTTTTCATGCAACAATGAAGCATTATTGTACTAGTCTAGTAGTGTCTACGTTTACAACACGTATTAACAGCTGCATCAGTTTGCCATTCTAAAAATAGCCATTACGATGCATTGCAATGTTTAAAAAACCTCTACGGGTAGTACCACTTGGCAAGAGGGGTGTTAAGTTTATGGCAACTGTATAATGTATTTGCTTACGAATAATTGAATTAGAAAATGTTATACATAAAACTTCACACATAATTACTTTATATATACAGTTTGAATCGTGTGATTAATTTTAAAAAATTACAATACAGAAACAAATCAAACTGATTTGGCACCTCTATTTAAATTTACTTATGAGCAAACTGCGTAGTGGTGGGGACATTTTGTCAACAACGTCATCACGATGAAGTAGTAGTATTCTTACAGTTTGGGCGATAGTGATACGATTACAAATTATATGAAACAGTTACAACCCCCCCTCCCCGTGGACCCTCTGTAAAAAAAAATATTGTCATAATACCACTGCTACTTATTTAAATCTATTTCTGTAATATATATTTCTGTAATATATTTGTGTAATATATATGTATGTTTAGAACAGTCATCTAAAAACTGACGCTATGTTCACTCTGAGTTGGTTATCTCCCCCCCCCCCCCCCACACACAATCACCACCACCATTGTGTAGAGCGACATTAATGTCACACCTAGAGTATACACTGGGTTGGATTATTGACTTAAAGTGACCGGACCATGGTGAATGAAGTTGAGCCCACCCACCCCCCCTCAACCCACCCCGAACTGATCTGTTAAGTACATGTAGAAAAACGCGCAATGATGTTCCAAAGTACCATGCCGCCAGAAAATTAGCTTTTTAAACGTAAAACTCTGTGAATATTGATTTTGCAATTACCAGTAAAAATTTGTAAGCAATACAGTGATCTAAACCATACCTATCACTATGTTAAAAAATGATCTTTAGAGAACTCAAAGTAGCAGTAGTTACTTAAAATATATTAACGGAACTAAAAGACCAATATTTAGATAAATGTAGGTTGCTATTTCGAATGTTGTCTATTATATCGAAAAGCGTGGTTTTATACCAACTCTGATTTTAAAAACTTTCATTATGCTGTGATACTTTAGTATTTATGATGACGATATATTAAATTCTGAATATAGACAAAAACATTTTGTAAACACGAATAGCGATAAATCTTTTCATTATATTCTAAATTAATTATTTATTTGTTTTGACATTTATAATTAAATGTATAGATATATACATATTTATATTAAGAGAGTGATTATTTCCCCTATTTCAATACTCTTAAATAATTTCCCAGGAATTATTATGTAAGAATTATTTTTTTACACGAATTACAAAACAGATTGTGTTACGTTCATTGTTTTTGGTTGTAGTGTGTGTATGTTTTTTTTTTGTTGTTGTTTAGATTGACACAATTTTTGTTTTGTGGCCTACATTGTGTTTTTTCTTATTTCTTCAGAGTGCTACTTTCAATTTATTTTACAACATAGCGAAGTAATGACATACAGCTAGTAATTATAATATATATATATATATATATATATATATATATATATATATATATATATATATATATATATATATATATATATATATATATATATATATATATAATACTCGTATATAGAACGTGTTAAAAATTCGGCGCCTTTTTTTGCTCTTTTCGCTCCCCCTACAACGAAAACCTGGATACGCCTCTGATATATACATAGGATAGGATGATATCTAAAACTTTACAATTTATAGATTTTTACATGCGTATATGTGTATGATTAAGCTTTTGTTCTTGCATTTTTTGTTTTGTAAAAAAAATACGTTACTTTTAGATGTTTTTTTTTTAAAATACTGACAAAGTTATTGACGTTCATTACTTATTTAATAATTAAAGCTGTATCACATCTTTCAGACAGCTTAACATTTGTCGCATTAATGAAAAGGTTTTTTTTCCCAAGCTTTTTGATCTTACCTTACAATTACATAGACACCGCGTCACTGCGCCTACACAAATGTTCATAACCGTTGTCCGCCAAGCTTTTCAACTCGGCAGCAAATGGCAAGTCTAGGCGGTAATTCATTAACTTTGGTCTATGATTTTTTTTTTTACTTACGGTGTCTACATACTTGAGTGCGATAAAGCCAAACAACGCGTATTAATATAAGTAATCTAAAAATATTTTTTAAAAAATAATATTCAGAATTATTTTCCATATCCAGTAGCTAAAGCATCATGCCTCTTACAAATCGATAACACTTACGTAGAGTATTTGATTAAGTGTGATGTTGTTGGGTTCAACGTAGTTTGTATAAGGTGTGTCTGCCTTAGTTTATCTATTGCTGTAACATACGACCACACCGGTCCCGACTCATTACTACTTCACGATTTAGATGCTTTATACGTCAGCTTCTACGCAGAAAATATATTTTAAAGAAATTGAATGCTCACATATCCTTACCTAAGAATGAGACTACTTCCAGTTTTAAGCACTCTTGTTTTCTATCTATCTGTTTCGTTATCTTGGTCCATTCAGACGTCATGCGTGTCCTTTTAATCATCTTTCTCCAGTGGCGTAGGCAGGGGGGGTTAGGGGGGTCATAACCCCCCCATAGACCCCTCGGTATATAGAAAAAGTATGGGGGGGTGCAAATCGAAAGTTTGAGGGGGGGGGGGGGGTGCAAATCGAAAGTTTGTGGGGGGGGGGGGGGGGGGGTGCAAATCGAAAGTTTGTGGGGGTGCAAATCGAAAGTTTGAGGGGGGGGGGGGTGCAAATCGAAATTTTGACGGGGGGGGGGGGTGCAAATCGAAAGTTTGTCCCCGGGTAAAAATTGGAACCCCCCCCCTTGAGACGATCCTGGCTACGCCACTGTCTTTCTCCATTCGCCTACAAGTGTTAAACACAGCAGGTCATGTCTTCCCATTTTTTAAATTATGCCTGGCTTTTTATGCCCATATCTTCAAAGCTTTTAAAAATGTGTAGCTTGTTATACACCATTAATAAAAATAAAAATTGACGGCGTGGTCGAATGGTAGAGTTTGCGACCTATTACCCAAAATTTTCGAGTTCGAATACCTGTCAGGCTCGAGTCTATAGTACATTCCTTAGCCCACCAGGCGTATTGATGCTGAGATCATTGAAACAAATCAGCTCTACTTCGCCTGACCCATGTGTTTGGGCACAAAAGGGAAAGGTGATGATGCGTGAAATATAACCGTACTAACTAGAAGCATTAGGGTGATCAGGCATATTGATACGGTAATTGCTATTTGATTTATCAAAACAAGTTACGGATAGCGGTAAATTTTAAATAAATAAATTAACAACACACGCATGCACACACACACACTCACACACACACACACACACACACATATATATATATATATATATATATATATATATATATATATATATACATATATCAAGAGAGTGAGAGAGAGAGAGAGAGAGAGAGAGAGAGAGAGAGAGAGAGTAGCTGGTTCCCTCTATTCTGTAAACCTTCATACGCATCTGACACCAACATTTAATGTTGATTACTTCGTTTAAATATCTATTCCTTCTAGTGCAGTTACCGATTATAATAGAGGATTTCAATTTTTAGAGTTGAGTTTCGAGTTTCACAAATATTTGCATGTTTTTTGTGCTATAACATACGTTTTTTTTTTTTGCAGGCACGTTAAGGATACGTGATACGTATTTATTTTTCCTTCAGTATGGTGGAAAAAAACAGCTAGGCAGGATAAATATAGCATCGTTTAAAACAATGGCACTGAAGATGAAAGCATACTGTTTTGTGTAAAGGTGAATATATATATATATATATATATATATATATATATATATATATATATATATATATATATATATATATATATATATATAAAGTGTCATGTAGGCCTTTCCTGAGTGTTAACACACACACACAAATATATATATATATATATTAAAATAACAAAAAGAAGTTGAGGCTATAGAATATTTATACATTTTCGTTTATTAGTTAGTTTAAATTAAGTTTAAATTATAATGTTTTTTATATTTGGTTCCAAGAGAATCAGACAGTCCCCAACTTACACAAGATGCCAATTCAATATTTGTGGTAAAAAATTCTTCAAACACAATTCTCAGTTATATAAATAAATATATTGAAACGAATCAGGTATAACCTAGTAGCCATTACCCAACAGCTATTTTATTTTTATTTTAAAAAGTAGCGGTTTTTGTTAAAGGTGTTTTTTTCCACAATAACAATAATTTAATTATAAGCTTTTTATAGTTGACAATATTACATTTCTGTGTGGACCTACTGGTATTTTCCTTGTATCTCATCATACATTTTACTTTAACCCATCAAGAACCGACACAATAAAATGACTTTTAAGCAAGCATAGTTCTAATGAAGGAAAAGAAATTGACCCTTATAGTGACGTTTAAAACGAAGAAACTCTATCTGTCGAGATGTGTATCAAGATATCTTTCGACCTTATTTTCAATAAATCTATACAATGTTAAACCCTGCCCCAAGTAAAATAATGTAGAAAACCACTCCTCCCCATTCTGGAAACTTTGAAAGACATGACATGGCACACTTTTGGTGGGCAACCTATAGAGGTTCACGCACTTATCTGAAAGACTAAGAAAACATCTACTTATGTAAGTCAGGAATTATCTAAATTACTGAGATAAAATGTTACAATTTTCACAACGCTATCTTAAACAGCTGCGGATCAAAAGTGAGCGGGTCTTACCCGGGGCCTTATAGATATCACAATGACTAATTACATCTTGATGGGATTGTAAAATAATTTTGAGCAGCTAAAATTCCAGGGCCCCTTGCTTCAGCCCGGTCAGCCCCCCTCTTAATCCGCCACTGTTTCAAGAATAAGAAAGTATCGAAACAATTTATAAAAATAATCTAATTCAGATAGGAACTAAATTCTCCTTTGTATCAGTGGGCTTCTGGTTGCCTGGTTACCAAAGGTTACAAAGAAAACATCCGGGTTGGATATTCCGGTCCTTCCTCGGTTGACCTGAGCTGGGGGGTAGGCGCTGGTGGTTGTGCTGGGCGGCTGGGTGGGGACAGGGCGCTGGGTGGCAGGCCGCATCGTGGTGAATCCCAAGTTTCTTTCTAATTCACTCTGAAAATCAAAACAAGAGACCAGCTTGATTAATAATGTTTTAATGCCATTGATGAACTATAAGGAGTAAACGTGAAGCTTGTAACCATAGAATGATCTTCATCGTGGAAAAAATATCTTTAAAAAATATTAAATGACAGGAAATACATTAATATTTAACTGGGTTAATCTTCGTTAATCCTCTAACTTAACTCCACAAACGCAACCATCTTTTAAAAATTAGAAAAAAAAATTAAATTCTAATTGAAAGGCGCCGTAAGCAGCTATTTTTAAAGAATTTTAATATCTTCTAGTCCCTGTTTGTTGATCGCAGCTCAAAAAAAAAATATTTTAAAGGAGAATTAAAAATTCGTAATTTGATCTTATTCGCTATTTGCTTAGAGCTCCGTAAATGTTGTTTAAGTTACATTTTGGAAATAATTTCTAAATTGTGTTGTAGATTGGTCGTCTTTTAAAGATAAATATTGTGTTTTATCTTTTCTTGATTCACTAAAGACTTTATCCTTTGATCCTTTCATGACCTATATTAAACTAAGTGTTATTATGACAAACCCAGATCAGAGCCGGGTAATAAAACTAGTATTTACATTTACTGAAGACAAATGAACAACAAACATGCAGGACCGTACCAGTGTTGAGTTTGATGGGGGTGTATAACCAGCATGACAGTATCCCATGATGTCAGTGATCGAGCACGGGTTAAGGCAACATTCGACGACGATGTTTGACGTCTGCCTGGTAAACCGAGCCAGACCAGTTTTGGCGGGATTCACGTCGTGCGTCTCGCGTCTGTGTCTAAAGATGGCGAGAAACTTTTCCAGGGCTTTTAGTTTAGACGCCGCTTCAGAAACCATGGCGCTGAGTTCTTCGTTAGAGGGGTCATTGAAATCAGGGGCGTCTCGAATGTCTCCCCAGGAGCCACGCCTTTGTTGAGGAGCTTCGGGGACATCTGCCGGTTGATCTATGAAATGAGAGAGGTACCATGCTAGTGATAAGCATAGAAGAAAGACTGGCTTAGACAAGAAACAATTAGGTTCCGTTTTTTGGTCCTATGGATCATGTGGCATATAGAGTTCACCTGTTTCTGAAGGAATAGTGTAGTCAGCATTATGCCCAGTTGACTTTACTTTCCCTAACGTGAGTTAGATACCCATCAGAGCTGGGTGGACCTGGGGACGTTCTAATGACCAGAACCCGGATTCAAACTTAAGGTGAGCAGTCTGGCCAGACATCCCATTATAAGAAACAATGTCAAAAATTGCAGATCTGCTGTAACGTGAATATACAAGATGTACAAAGCCTTTGTCTAATGTTCGAAGATGTTGGATTGTTTACGTCCTATCATTCATTGTCATAATACGAAGCAGGATGTCATGGGGGACTGCCAAGAAAACTGCCGGAGACCGAAAAACAATGGAGGGAGCTCTCTGTGTCTTGAACACAAAAAGGAAAAGATGATGATTGATGTTCTATTATTTACGGTAAATAAGTCAAACTGTTCATATTTCTATACCGGGTGTTACCTATTATATTTAGCAAAGCCTTACAATAAATTCAACGTACAACAAAGCACTTACATAACACAATTCGAGGATATATTTAACCTAGATTAAGCCAATGTTAAATAGGGGTTTCTTGAAGACTTCGTTTTTTTCCGAGATCGAGGGGGGGGGGGGGGGGGGCTAGAAACTTCCAGGGATGCGCTTTTTAATTATTATTTTTTGTGTGGGGGGAGGGGGGAAGTGAAGGGGAGCTCAAACACTGAGAAATTCCCAAAAGAAGATCTGGATTGGTGTAATCAACAGCTTAAATAGGCGATCGTAGAGTGCGCATATACCTAACGAAGTGTACCAGACTAATTAAAAATAAATCTACATTTTCCACAATACACGCGGATTTCTCATGTTATTCTCCCGTATGACAAACAAAAGACAGAAATATTGGCCAAATCGCCCGTCAACCACGTGTACTTACAACTCCGTTTCCCATTCTGAGCCGACTGCGAGCAGATCAGATCGTAGGCGTCTGCTAAAGCTGATCCACACAGTCGACGTCGTCTGCGATTGTTGGAGTTGTTGGCGCGGTTTCCGTTCACGTCGAGCAGAAGGCAAAGAAAGGCGATCGTGTTGAGCAAGAGAAACGAGTTCATCTGTTGACAAGAAACGTTGTTTTAAAATTAAAACGAATACACGTAGACATACGAGGTAACGAAGGGAGAGAAAGATGGCCAATGTATTCAATGTATTTGAGTTCATCAAAACATGTTGTTTATAAAGCCAGATTAATTTTTTCCTGCCGTGTGTATTAAAGCACATACAGTGTTTCTTCCAGACTTTTTTCTACGAAGGGGGGGGGGGGGGAACAGAGGTAAAAGTATTTGTTTTCTATATAAATTAAATCAGGCGTGTCCGCTGGCGCCACGGTATGGCTGCGAATAAATATTTTAATTTCGGCCCCAAAGGCTCACATGGGCCGCTGAGGGGCCTGTAATAATTTTTTTTAAAATAATCACATAAAGTAACCAATGTTAGATTATTAATTGGGTTGTTTCCTTTTGTCCGTACAAAACTCCAAACAGTTTCGTCACTTTGCGAATGATGCAATTAGCATCTATTTTTAGACGATCCAATCAGAAATGGAGATCGAGCATCTAATAATACACCATTAGTAATGCTATCAAATTGCATCAGTCACACTGTTTAACAAACTTTGTTTTCTACGTGTTAAAGAAAAAAACCCTGTTGATTTGTGTCACTTAAGCGAGATTAAAAATCATCTCATGCCGTGTTAACTATATCACATGCAATGTTTAAGGTTTCTTCCAGACTTTTTTCTCCGAAAGGGGGGGGGGGCAGAGGTAAAAGTATTTGTTTTCTATATAAATTTTATTTCGTTCAGGGGATGGGGGGGGGGGGGCGAAGAAACTCTGATCACAGTTGAAAAGAGATTTTTAAAATAGCATACTTAAAAAAGCATAAAATGATATTGTAAATGGGCTTTTCTCCATTGGGAGTTTAAAAATACGAACAAAAGGATGTATAATAAACATATTTTTTTAAAATTTCATCTAATGACGCAAGAACAATATGCTAGCTATATTTAAAGCAGATTTTAAAAACGATTTTCTTCCTTAGATTGTTTCTTTTATTCCAACTGATGATGAATGGGTATTAATTTATTTATACCATGTAAATACAAAAGTTGTTTATTATTAATGAACTCCACAGACCTAGAATAAGAAACTAGATACTAGCCCACTAAAGACCTAGTATTGTGAAAATCATCATTGTACTGGAGAAATAAAAGATACCAGAAAAATAGTCGAGCATTTGTTAGCGTTGAGATCCTACCTAAAATATAGTCATCTTACTGCTAACAATGTTCCTACGCAGAGGCGTAGCGAGGGGGGGGGGGGCGGGGGACGCGGACCGCACCGGGTGACACCAAGGCAAAAAATAGCAAATTATATAGAGAAAAACTTGAAGGGGGGGGGGAAGCAAATTGAAAGTTTGAGGGGGGGGGGGGTGCAAATCAAAAGTTTGAAGGGGGTGTGCAAATCGAAAGTTTGAGGGATGGGGGGGGGGGTGCAAGTCGAAAATTTGAAGTTTGTCCCCAGGGGGGGTGACACCATTAAGTGCCGCACCGGGTGAAACCCAACCTCGCTACGCCACTGTTCCTACGTCAATGCTGTTACAAATTCAAGGCTATTGATGATGCGTAGAAATTTAGTATAATTGAGAGGAGAAAAATTAAAAAAAAACAACTGAAATGTAGCGTTTGTGGTTGCTTAAAGCTCTCTATAACATGACGATCACAGTTTGGCCTAATACACAGCTGTGTATTGCTGAATTTCGGTTTTATATGACAACACAGATAAAAACACAATTATTTGCATAACTAAAATTGTCATCTAATCGTCCGTTTTTTTTTTTTACAGCAGCTTGTTTTATCTAGTGAGAGCTGGTTTATAGATGGGGGTATTGTGTGATTGGATGTGTATTGAGTGATTGGATGTGTATTGTGTGATTGGACGTGTATTGTGTGATTGGATGCGTATTGATTAATTGGATGTGTATTGTGTGATTGGAAGTGTATTGTGTGATTGGTGTGATTGGACGTGTATTGTGTGATTGGACGTGTATTGAGTGATTGGATGCGTATTGATTAATTGGATGTGTATTGTGTGATTGGACGTGTATTGAGTGACTTGATGTGTATTGAGTGATTGGATTTGTATTGAGTGATTGGATTTGTATTGATTGTTTGGATGTGTATTGACTGTTTGGATGTGTATTGAGTGATTGAATGTAGATTGTGTGTTTGGATGTGTATTGTGTAATTGGACGTGTATTGAGTGATTGGATGTGGATTGAGTGACTGGATGTGTATTGATTGTTTGGATGTGTATTGATTGTTTGGATGTGTATTGAGTGATTGAATGTGGATTGAGTGATTGGATGTGGATTGAGTGACTGGATGTGTATTGATTGTTTTGATGTGTATTGATTGTTTGGATGTGTATTGAGTGATTGAATGTGGATTGAGTGAGTGGATGTGGATTGAGTGATTGAATGTGGATTGAGTGAGTGTATGTGGATTGAGTGAGTGGATGTGGATTGAGTGATTGGATTTGTATTAAATGACTGGATATGTATTGAGTGATTGGATGTTTACACATTTATTTCCTAACGTGGTACTGGTTGGTGTACAACATAATATTTTTATTTAAAAAATCAACATAAATCCTTTTTTCAGTGTTTTTATGTGAGCCGAATGTGAGCTTGCATCAATTAAGAACGTCTTTCGAGAATGTAAAACCCTATCGCTCAGTGCTAAATGTTACATACATATTTAATTCAATTCCGCAATACGCTAATTACCTAAACCTTTTTCTAATTAACCGGGACGAAGGAAAATATGTAAGTGTATTAAAGCTCTTAAAAAGAAAACGTGACGAAACTCAATAGCGTCACTCCGAAACATCAGAAAAATAAAGGGTGTCGATTTCTAATTAATGAATTTTTAATCACTGTAAATTATCCTTTGTTTCACATCAGGTGCCTGCCTTGTTTACAACACGTTTACTTTCAAGTAATATACACACTAATATATAGGCTTATATGTTTTATATGTATGTATGTGAGAGTGTGTGTATCATATGTACATACAAATATCTTTATATAAATACACAAATATATATATATATATATATATATATATATATATATATATATATATATATATATATATATATATATATATATATATATATATAACATTTTTTAATCAAATTAATCAGACACCCACCAGAGCTAAGTAGTCAAGTAGACTCACACATTATTTTACAGTGTTAAAATATTTAAAGCTGTAAATTTTTAAAGTAGCATTTATCGGCGAAAAGCTACGGTTTAATAAAGAAAATTGAGCGCGCGAGCGTGTCTGTGTGTGTGTGTGTGTATTTGTGGGAGGGGTGGGTGTATTTTAGCTGTCTTAAACTAAAAATAAAATACAGGCTTATAAAAAAAAACGAAAATTGCATCAACAGGATTAATGTCTAGAATCAATGCTTATGTTGAAACTCTACACAAACCGAACGAAATAGAATCTGTACATAATTTATAGAGAAAATATATACTTTAACCTGTGTCCGCCCTCAGAAAGTTTAAAGTCTCCCCCCCCCCCCCCTTGAACACTTCAACAGAACCTCCCCCCATCCCTCTCCCCTATCCCCAAATCCAGAAAAAAAATGTCTGAAAGAAACTCTGATGTACATGTATGTGTTGCCAGCTGTATCACAAGCCACTGCGAACCCGGAAGTTTCTCATAGCATTTCTTCAAACTTTAAGCAAAAATACTTGTTCATTATAATAACATTGTTTGTATCTTATTATTATTTTCGTATCTATAAATAAAGAACAATTCACAGTTAGCGTTGTAAACATGTGCTCCATTCCACGATTTGATTCCCTGATTACTGGGTATTTCTACAAACTTTAAGATTAAGAGGCTCACGGGTCTGTCTTTTTTTTGTATACCCGTTTTCTAATCACAAATGAGGCTCAATTCCTGAAATTGTAATCACAGTAGTGAAAGACAAACAAATACTTTAAGGTTTTACAAAAGTGCAAGATTTTTATGGTCAGCTGTTCCGATAGGTCAACATTAAAAAAAAAACAACATAAAACTCGAAATTGACATTTAGAAGGATTATCTACTTGTTTTATTTATTTAATGTATCATCTCACAGATCTATTGTCTGTTTATTTTAAGTTACGAATGACGTAAATAAAGACAGTTTTATTTGACCCAAGACGAACGAACATTTTGGCCTGGGAAAGGTCAGTGGGCTGTTTGTATGGTGTTCGTGTGTATGCTCAGGTGTGGACTGGCCCGCCGGTCTACCAGAAAAAATTCCGGTGTTACCCGAACCCCCATCTCCTTCATGAATAAAATCACGGTTGGTTCCCAGAAAAGTCTTGCTGGGCCCCCATAAACTGTGCTGTAATAGTATGTCCTATTTTTTTGTTTTGGTTTAAAGAAAATACTATGTTTATATTTCTCCTTTTTACAATGTCCATTCCTTCATACCAAGGCGTAAAATTCAGGCTTTGATGGGGAAAGAAGAAATGCACAATGAAAATTTAAATCTGGGGCTAAGGGCCCTTTTTAAAAATACCCTTGACCTTTTGAACCCAGCCAGTTCACCCATGCAAACACAATGAGTGTCAAGTCCAACACAAGTCGAGTACTTAATAGAGCTGAGTGAGCTCAGCTTAGTTCTTGTAATCTAAAATGCTTGATTAAACATAGGTCAAGTCGAAATTTTTACATTGCCCTTCTAAGAAGTCTAGTATCGCTGATGTCAGACAGACTCCCTTTGTCAACCAAATGTCTGGGTCAAATTGCAGTAAAAGTGGACTAAGAAACGGAACTGGTCAAGCGCAGTATGTAAATCTTGTACCACAGACAGCCCACAAACATAAAATCTATTTCTCACAATTTAATACCTAAGACCTACCTGGGCCATTATCGTTTAGATTTTCCTAGATTTTTATCGACAAAAATTTTCTTTTAAGTGTTCTGCATTTGTAAAACGTATTATTTAATTTTTAGTCAATACAACTCTAATGCACTATTTTTTCTCCTGGATCGTCTCCTTTGTCAACAATCATACAGCTACAGCTTTCATTAATTATTACAATAATTAGCTAAGTACCCATTAGAAGATTTATTAGTCACCGATTGGTTATCAACAATCATACAGCTACAGCTTTCATTAATTATTACAATAGTTAGCTAAGTACCCATTAGAAGATTTATTAGTCACCGATTGGTTATCACAATTAGACCCTTTAGACAATTAGTAATGAAAGAAAACTCATGAGAAACGGAATTTAGGACAATGTTTTAATTGAAGTATTATTTTACAATCTGTCTACAACGTAAATGTCAATATTTTTTTAGTAAAACGGAATGCATTACGAAGTACTTTTAGTTATTTTTATCACACTGAACTTTAAATTTTCAACTCGTATAATTATTTTTAGACACTAATTAAAGCATTAGGACGTGTATTTCCAAAGATTTTTACCAATGCCCGTCTCGTAAAAAAACATGCACAAATCTTGGTTCCCTTCACTAAAAACACAAAAAGATATTGGGATCTATCCTTACGTCTTTCACTCCATTAAAAATTAATTCTACCCAATTATTTATAGTTATCATCATTCCATACTTCAAAAAATGGAGCGAATGGTCGAGCTAATTGAAAATTAAGAAAGGAAATAATAATATCCAAGGTTGGGATAGGCCTATCTAATTTAATGATGCAAACATCTATTTAAATAATGCATCCGGATACTTTTATATAAGTACTCTATATTTTATACTTATATTTCTTTGAATTTCTTCACCCTTACTTAGCACTGTTTTTTTTTATACAAACAAAATAAACTAAAGAAATCTATTGTGGAATTTCTTTTTCGGATGTTCTGGAAAGAAAGTTTCACTATATGAAACAATACTGCCCTTTCAACCACCGATGGTAGCTTTTTTTGCCGCAAAACCACTTAAAATTTATTTATTTTTATAGAGGCTACTTTGTCCGCATTTTTTGCCATTCTCTATATATGGCGCCATAGTCTAATAGAACATTGGATGACTGCTCATTTGAAATTGGAAATCCTAGCCCAAAGCCTGGGCCCTAAATTGTAAAGTGAGAAGAGCTAGATGTTGCTCATGTATCAGACAGATAGCTGGGGAGAGGGGGGGGGGGCAAGGGACAGGTCGTTACCTTTACAACTTAAAATCAGCAGTGTCGCATGAGCTGCCTACAGGTCACCAGAGTTGGCAATTGTCTAAATACAATGAAAAATGTAGGAAATGTGGCTCGGCAATATAAGCATAGCTATTTTTAAAACATTCCTCCACCCCTCCGCCAATATATTGGACTAGTCCAATGGTTCCTTAGGGTCTTGTTAATTACGACGCAAACAAAGCCTTCGGGCAGATGGCTTTGTTGTATTAATATAAAGGGAAAAAAATGTGAACGAGAGAAATTAAACAAGATAATTGTTTAAAAAGAAGCACTGAAGTAATTCGAGATATTTTAAATCGATAAAAATTGATAGTTACAACAAAAGTTTTTTAAAAATGTCGATGAGAATTTAGCGGTTTGATAAATTCAGTTAAAGATTTCAATGATTTTTTTTATAAAAAAATAAATAAAGATGTAGCCAATTGAAAAGCCAAAAATTCAAATTTTTGTTTCTGTTTAGAGATTTTTTTTTTATGTATGAATATTCATTTCCAGTTATTTGACGGACATTTTTGAGTTTCAAAATAATCAAAATAATTTACGAGATGGAAAAAGGTTATTGTAGAAATATTATCGTAGAATATTGTAGAAAAAGAAATAACATTATAAACAACAATTCTGCAATTTTAAAAATCTTGGATTAAGTATTATCTAAGTTTTAATTTGTTGTGATACAATCAAAATGAACTCACGTTTTTCGAATGAGCGGTTCTGATCTCAACTCTCTCAGCCTCTGAGTTCAATGAAGACTGCCTGAAGCCGTGAGTTGCCGGTTCTTATACAAGCCGGTCATTGTGGATGATAAATAATAAGTGCCGGCAATTAGCGCTCCGCCGTGACGTAACTGCTAGCGTGGGTGTGTGTGGAGAGTCGCTGTCCTACCCCGGCGAGACCACGGTGTGGGGGTGGGGCTGGTAGGCACGGACTGCGCATGACAGACCTAGCACTGCGCATGTCAGTGGTGTAAATAAGAATAAATATAAACTCCGATTTGATATTTTTTGACCACTTAAAAACATGTTGGATCGAAATACACGTGAAGGAGTTGTGGGTGAAAGGGTGGGATAGCGATGATGGCAGATTGTGTTTTCAAGCTATTTTGAATATGATAGTGGTGACATGTCGTGATGTCAGTTTTGGTGTCAGTCCATGATGTCAACCTGCGTTGTGTATCAATGTCCAGTATGTTATAAAAACTAGAAAAAATGTCAGGAGTATGTTGTCAGGGATTTGCAAATGCATGAACAGTGATCCGGTGGGCGGCAATGTGGAAAGACATAAAGGGTGTCACTTACATGGTGTCATGTCAAAATACGTCACCAGGTATAAGTAAGTAGTGATGGGTCAACGACATTAACACACTCTCATTTAACCCCTCGGTCATTACCCTCCAGATCAATTTCCTGTTTTTAATTTCTCTTCATGTTAAATACAGCCCGAACTCGCAAATACCTCTTATACATGTTAATCATACATAGACAAACCCATAATTCCATTGAGTAAGAAATAAATAGAATTTCCTACTAGACTTGGAATTCTACATCATACAAGCCAAGAAAACAAGGAAAATATACAATAACCTTATTCTGTCGAGAATATTTCCAAACCCTAACATTGCTACTATCCATAATATTTCTAAATCTTTAACATACCATCAGAGGCGTAGCGAGGGGGCGGGGGTGCGGACCGCACCGGGTGACAACATTGCAAAAAATAGCAAAATATAAAGAGAAAAATGATAATTCCACTTAAGTAAGTGATTAATTCGAGTGTTAAATAGTCTTTTAAGAGGTGCAAATCGAAAGTTTGACAAGGTGGGGGGGGGGGGTGGTGGTGAAATCGAAAATTGAAAGTTTGTCCCCGGGAAGGGTCGCCTCTGGGGGGTGACACCATAAAGTGCCGCACCGGGTGGCACCCGACCTCGCTACGCCACTGCATACCATTAACCATAGTTATGACACTCGGCTTAATATTATTTATTATCCGGAATATGTCTAAACCTTTAACATAACTTTAACTATAGCTATAAATCTAGGCTTAACATTACTTACATCCAGAATATGTCACCTTTAAATAAAATTAACCATTACCCTAGCCATCTGCATTACTTATCACAGGTGTAATGCCCGAGTTCAGTCTTTCGCTATGGGCTTATCCACAGGAGAGTAATTGATAAGGTGTTAATTGTCCTTGTGTAATTGACAGGGGAGACAACCCGATTGGTAACATCAACTCTCCAGCAACTTTTTTCCCCCTCCCTGCTATCCCCCCACCCCCAGCGCCTTTTTGGTATATGTTTCATGTAGAACTCCGTCAAAATCTTACTAAAGTTTCTGAGTACAACCCAAAACAAACAACAAAAAAAAAAAAAAAAAAAAAAAAAAAAACCCAAACCCCCCAAAAAATCATAAAAACGCACGCAGAAAAAAAAGTCTATCTGTGCGTCATAATAAGTTTGAAACAAACATACAAACACTACAAATTAAACACCCCCATTGTTTTTCCTTAATTCCGAAACGGTTGTAAAAAATAAGGAAAGTTCAGCACTTAGAGGCTCTAAACATAAAACGTCTAGTAATAAGAAATGAAAACTATCCAAAACTATCCGTGTCTTCAATTAAACGTCTTAAATTGCTTGTGTCTGGGCACTAGCACGCTGTTAAATGTTTTCACAGGTAACATTTGAAATATGAAGCTGCCAGGTGGAAATTAAGACGAGTTAATTAAAGCCATATAAGGTAAAGTGGAAAGTTCTGTATGTTATATAGTCTAGCGCAGTAAATTTTAAAAATCTGGAATTAAAAAAAAACAATTTTGTTTCCTTTGATAACTGGATATTTTAATTTTTTTAATTTTTTTTTTTTGAGGCTCTCGACTAAGTAAATAATCAAGTCAATGGGTATATGCCTAAAATAGTATCCAACCAGGTAAGGGTAAGATGAATTACATGCTTTACTTGTTAAAAGTGTCAAGTGTTAGGGTGGATTGGGGAAGAACGGAGACTGCACAGTTGACCACAAAAGTTGTTTATTTATTTATTGAAGTAAAAGATTATAATCACACTCGTAGGCTATGACCCGTATTTCCAATCAACGAGTAGTAAACAAGCTATCGATCTTGATTGATTGGATAGTCGGTTTAAATATATATATATATATATATATATATATATATATATATATATATATATATATATATATATATATATATGATCATAACAACGAGGGAAGGTTGTACACTTATACCCTATTGGCCAAACATGGAGTAATTCATTAGCAGGAGTTCTAAAAATAACTGCTTTGGATCGTAAACCGTTGGTCAAATATGGGTTCCATTAGAAGCCCTTAGGGTGACACGTGATGCGCAGTAGCTCTGTGTTTACATCTTTCCCCGCGCCGTCTAGCCTACACACGTTGTAATGACGTGGCTTTTTCTAGCCTACACAAGACTCGGTGTTTACACTGTTTACACTTCTGACCTGATGCACCGCAGGCGAGACAAATTCGTCCTGTGTGGGGTGGTGGGGGTAGGGGGGGGTGGTGGGGGTTGGTGGGGTGGTGGTTGTGGGGGGGGATGGGTGGGGGGGGTGGGGGGTTGGTGGGGGGGTGGTGGGGGTTGGTGGGTTCGGATCTCGACTAACTAAAACAACTGTCAGTGTCATTTCTAGGACTAAACTATGTACCCGCATCGAGATTTGAAAAAAAAACAACTTGGTCTTTATTTCTGGTTTCACACGATCGGTTCTGTTTAACAGCAAAGATCAAGTTCACGGACGTAGGTGATAGGTCGGCATTCAAACACATGGTTTGATTATTTTAAACAAATATTAAGTAAATCTTACATGTGTAGGTCTAAACCACCAAGAAGGGATACACATAAGGACAGTTGGAGAGTTTAGCCCAGGAATAGTGTTTCTTTCAGGCATCTCTTCGCACCCCCCCCCCTCCCACCCCCTTCAGCGAAATAGAATTTTCATAGAAATATTTACTTTTATAAGTTTCCGCCTCCCCGAATTAATATAATCCGACCCAACAAAAGTTTCAAAACTCATGTGTAAGGTATATTGACACTTATGGAGTAAATGTTGCTTTAAAGGAAGTGTAAGCACTTAGGAGACATATAGAAGGCAGATAGCCAGATATTAGATTGGAAACACCCTTAGTAAGACAGATAAGATTAAGATTAATGTGTCTTGGGAACATAAAGGGAAAAGATGTTGATCTCTTCTGTTTGGTACTGCCCCCCCCCTCCCCTTCCACAAGAACATATTAGAAAAATATATCTAATATGTAAAAACTAAATAATTTAGTGTCCGCTCCGCCCCATCCCCTGGAAGTTTAAGTCACCTCCTCCCTTCCCCCCGCCCCGAAACTTTTAAGTGTCCCTCCCCCCCCCCCCCCCACACACACTTTCCACTGCCGGGATAAAAATGTCTGAAAGAAGTACTGACTGTATGTTGAGCATTACTGCTTTATGAATAAACATACAAACACAATTATAAATGTAAACATTAAATCTTTATTTCAAATTGGATTTTAAACCATGCTTATGTATTTCAGTTCCTCTAGCTTACAGTAGGATATTCTATACGCTTGCATTTCCTTTCTCCGTAAAAGCTAAAAAAGAGAAATACGATGAATTAGAATGGAGATTTAATTATTTGCTCAATACATATTCACCGTGCGCTCTAGACTAGAGATTCGGAAAAGTCTCGAGTTCGAACCCTCGGGCAGATGAGGCTCGTTAGCTGGGGACAAGCAACTCTTCTAGGAGAGACAACTCCAAAATTAAACAACTGCTGCCTTGTAGTTTGTTCTTGGTTGGACAAAGGCTATGGAAGCAAATCCAAAAAGAAAAGCAGGCTGAAATCGGAGTCAATGGCCTCAATGGCGCATAACCAGTTGACACGTAACGCTTAATTGTGTTGGAGGCGTGGTCGAGTCGGCAAAAAGCTCATGGTTGATAAATTCGAACAAAGTCTCGAGTTCAAACCCACTGGCAGATAAATCTCGATCCCCTTCACCACTACTAATTAAGAACGAAGAAGAAGAAGGACAAGTCCAAGTATACTACGCTAAGTGTTTGTACTTAAGTCTTGTTAGTGGAATATTTTTAGGTGAGCCAATTTTACAGATAGACAACACGTTAGTAAGGACGCTATGTTCGACTATCTGCAGTTACATTCAGATCAGGCCCTGTTTTACTAAATTAAGTTTCTCTTTACACCTACCAGCTGAAGTAGAGTTCACGTTTCTTAACCTCGGCATATGAAGAGATTTTGTAGTCAACACTATGACCAGCCGTCTTTATTTTCTCAACTTAAGACAGGTACCCATCAGAGCTGGGTGAACTCCGGGATGTCTTACAATTTCGAACTCGAGACATTCGGGCTAGAAGCAAGCCGCCCCACTCCTGTTTTACTAGACTACACTTAATTTAAAAACAATTTCCTTACACTCGTGGTATCACATTATTATTTGCTTTACCAGCACTGTGTCTAGAGTGTGTTTTTTAATTCTAATAATTTAAGTGCACAGGCAGTAGCGTAGCGAGGGGGGCGGGGTGGGGACATATGTCCCCGGGCGCCGGGAAGGGTCGCTACGCCTCTGTGCACAGGTAACAATTTAAACTACACAACAAACATTTCATGAATCTAAAAGTTGTTAAAAGTTAAGACATTCATTTAGATATAAAAATATTTTTTTTAAAAAACTTAACAATGGTAATTTCAAATCATGGAACGAAAAGCAGTTAGATTACCCAGTTATCTTGCAAGCATATTCTTCGCAACAATCCTGATGTACAGAGCAATAATCATCAGTGGTTTTACAACAACTGTTTCAGAAAAAACATAGCGTGATATAGTTTTGTTATATAAAACATTATTTGTAAGTGGGTCCATTGATGTTAGTGTGCGCATGCGTGGACAACTCGCTATCGCAATGGTGATAAAATCAAATTAAATTTACACATAACCAGTGGCAGGGGCGTAGCGAGGGGGGGGGGGGCGGGGGGTGCGGACCGCACCGGGTGACACCATTTAGGGGGGTGACACCAAGGCAAAAGATAGCAAAATATATAGAGAAAAACTCGAGGGGGGGGGGGTGCAATTCGAAAACTCGAGGGGGGGGTGCAAATCGAAAGTTTGAGGGGGGGGTGCAAATCGAAAACTCGAGGGGGGGGGTGCAAATCGAAAGTTTGAGGGGGGGGGGGGTGCAAATCGAAAATTTGAAAGTTTGTCCCTGGGAAGGGTCTCTATGCCTCTGGGGGGTGACACCATTAAGTGCCGCACCGGGTGACACCCGACCTCGCTACGCCACTGACCAGTGGTGTAAACAGGGAGGGGTAGTGGTGGGGGTTATAAACCACCCCTAACCCAACTCCCTTGGATAAAAAAAAATGACATCAGGTTTATGCAAAATAACTGCTATTTGAGACGGTGGACTTGCGTCGCTAGCATTTAGTACTTAAACAACCAACATGCAGGATCGCAGCCCCTTTAACCACAATGTATACCCATGTTAAGAGAAACTCCTAAAGCTCTTAAAGACGATAATTAATATCGCGGAAAATTAATTTAAAATAAGCTTGAACTCAGTAGGCCAACTGAAAGCAATATGATAATCGTACAATAACAAGTTTGCAATAATTTTTGGCAGCCCACAAGATCTTGCGCTTAGAGAGAACAATGATTTTGGAAAAATTCAGTTGTGGGATCCTGATTAAAATGTTTAAAAGTTTCTAGCTCTTTTGCGATTAACTTGAACATAATAAAGAAAAGAAAATTCATTAAAACGGAAAGATACCCACATCACACAATTCAGAATGAAATGACAAATGTGCAGATAAAAATTAATAATTTCAAAATATTGCTGGAAAAATACTTCTGTCAAATTATTTTCGTCTTAGCCAATTAAAAAAAATAATGATATAGCTGGTGGAACAGAGAAATTTTATTTATACGTCTGCTACCATGATAAAGACTAAGAATGTAAGGTAAATTTTTCTGCAGTTTGTAAGCGTTAATCTTCTAATAGGCAAAGGACTTGCAAATGTTTTAATGACTCTCTGGCAAAATTACACAATGGAACTTTTTGATTGGTCAAGGATATGATGGAGCCCCAGCGATGAGTGGTTGACTACATAGGGAGGAGCACAATAATATGTTGCTGAAAAATTTCCTTTGGCTTTTTTTTACGTGCATTGCGCATCTCAGTCTAAATATAGCCCTTTCTGATGCCTGCGAAGTACCAGCTTTGAGAAACTGTATGGGAATATTTAATAACGCATACAACTTTTTAAACACACTAAATATATAATGGTTTGCTGCAATAGAGAAATTAACGCCTAAAAACTCAGCAACTGAAATTAAACGATATACATAAACACACACACACACACACACACACACACACACATATATATATATATATATATATATATATATATATATATATATATATATATATATATATATATATATATATATATATATATATATATATATATATAATTAGTTAATTTATGTTTATATTTATATATAAATGTATAAGTATGTCAAAGTCATCCCCTCCCCGAGAATTTCCTAGCTACGCCACTGCTCGTTACAATTCAAAGTTTTCTTACAATTATTTCTATCCCAAAAATACATATATTAAATATTTGAAAGTGAACGATTAGGAAAAAAAGGTATCGAAGCAAGATACTTGAATTAAATTTTGAATTCCACATTTATTCAACTGTTTGAATTTGTTAAATTTCTTGTTAAAAATATAAAGTTTTAACTTACCTGTCGCATACAGCAATCAGACTGGCAAGACATACCAGAAGAAGAAAAGCAACGATCTTCATTTTAATGTGCTGCATCAAACTAACATTTTCATTTCTTGTCTTATTTCTAAAGCGCAACTATCTAGTTCTGCGTGAATACACATAACATTACAGTAATCATAAAAGCAATTAGGTATCAGATAATTAATTTCTCATTATCCAAAAAACAAAAATGTAAAAAAAAAATACACACATATTATCATTAGAAAATGATTTCAAAATAAAACGTTAATTGGAAGAAAATAGTTCGAGTTTATTGTTAGTAAATAATGGAACAGAACAATCTATACATGTTATTAAACGGGGGTGATTTGTATTGGGTAGTGTTAACAAGTTTAATCTTCACTCCAGCTGAAAATAAAATGTGTTCACACACAGTGGCTTTACTAGGTCGGATGTCATCCGGTGCACACACAGTGGCTTCACTAGGTCGAATGTCACCCGGTGCGGCAGCTGATGGCGTCACTGCAAGTGTTTCTTTCAGACTTTTGTCTTCGGGGAGGGGGAAGAGACTTGAAACTTTTGGGGTGGGGGGCATTTGTAAAAGTAAATATTTCCTATATAAATTACATTTTGTTCTGGGTAGGGGTGCTGTAGATGTGTTTCTTGAGGGGGTGGGGGCGGTGACTCTACCCCCCCCCCCCCCTGAAGAGACACCTGAAAGAAACACTGGTCACCGCTACCACGTACACACTTCTTGCACTTTCGATTTGATCTCATACATCGAGTCCAAACATCTCTTAAAACACTAATAATAATCTTTACTCCAACGCAAAAAAAGCAACACTGCTCTACGAATTAGACACACGGCGAACAACTGAGTCAACAATGCAATAAATTTAAAAATCCAAACTATAATAAATGGGTGCCTAAGGATTATTTTAAAATTAAAATGGTAAGACATGGTAGAAAACAAGAAACTATTGGGAATTGGGGTGATCGGTGTTTCTTCCAGGCTTATCTCCCCCCCCCCCCCCCAACGAAATGTAATTTATATAGAAAATTCTGACTTTAATCAATATGCGCCCCTTAGTGTTTGCACCCGGGCGCCCTCCCCACCCGCCCTCCCCTGGCTCTCACCCGTCAACTCTACTTTTAAATTATTGTAACTATTCATATTGGATAAAACACTGTTCAGACGGTAATCGTTTTTCGTTGTCGTGTCACCCCCCCCCCCCCCCCACAATGGAGTCAGCGTTTGTAGGCGGTACCATAAGTCAGTTAGTGTAGGCGGTACCATAAGTCAGTTAGTGTAGGCGGTACCATAAGTCGATGTAGGCGGTACCATAAGTCAGTTAGTGTAGGTGGTACCATAAGTCGATGTAGGCGGTACCATAAGTCAGTTAGTGTAGGTGGTACCTTAAGTCAGTTAGTGTAGGCGGTACCATAAGTCGATGTAGGCGGTACCATAAGTCAGTGTAGGCGGTACCATAAGTCAGTTAGTGTAGGCGGTACCATAAGTCAGTTAGTGTAGGCGGTACCATAAGTCAGTGTAGGCGGTACCATAAGTCAGTGTAGGCGGTACCATAAGTCGATGTAGGCGGTACCATAAGTCAGTGTAGGCGGTACCATAAGTCAGTGTAGGCGGTACCTTAAGTCAGTGTAGGTGGTACCATAAGTCAGTGTAGGCGGTACCATAAGTCAGTGTAGGCGGTACCATAAGTCAGTGTAGGTGGTACCATAAGTCAGTTAGTGTAGGCGGTACCATAAGTCAGTGTAGGTGGTACCATAAGTCAGTTAGTGTAGGCAGTACCATAAGTCAGTTAGTGTAGGCGGTACCATAAGTCAGTTAGTGTAGGCGGTACCATAAGTCGATGTAGGCGGTACCATAAGTCAGTGTAGATGGTACCATAAGTCAGTGTAGGCGGTACCATAAGTCAGTGTAGGCGGTACCGTAAGTCAGTGTAGGCGGTACCATAAGTCAGTGTAGGCGGTACCATAAGTCAGTGTAGGCGGTACCATAAGTCAGTTAGTGTAGGTGGTACCTTAAGTCAGTGTAGGCGGTACCATAAGTCAGTCAGTGTAGGTGGTACCTTAAGTCAGTGTAGGCGGTACCATAAGTCAGTTAGTGTAGGTGGTACCATAAGTCAGTGTAGGCGGTACCATAAGTCAGTGTAGGCGGTACTATAAGTCAGTTAGTGTAGGCGGTACCATAAGTTAGTGTAGGCTGTACCATAAGTCAGTTAGTGTAGGTGGTACCATAAGTCAGTGTAGGCGGTACCTTAAGTCAGTGTAGGCGGTACCATAAGTCAGTGTAGGCGGTACCATAAGTCAGTTAGTGTAGGTGGTACCATAAGTCAGTGTAGGCGGTACCTTAAGTCAGTGTAGGCGGTACCATAAGTCAGTGTAGGCGGTACCTTAAGTCAGTTAGTATAGGCGGTACCATAAGTCAGTCAGTGTAGGCAGTACCATAAGTCAGTGTAGGCGGTACCTTAAGTCAGTGTAGGCGGTACCATAAGTCAGTGTAGGCGGTACCATAAGTCAGTTAGTGTAGGCGGTACCATAAGTCAGTGTAGGCGGTACCATAAGTCAGTGTAGGCGGTACCATAAGTCAGTTAGTGTAGGTGGTACCATAAGTTAGTGTAGGCTGTACCATAGGTCAGTTAGTGTAGGTGGTACCATAAGTCAGTCAGTGTAGGTGGTACCATAAGTCAGTCAGTGTAGGTGGTACCTTAAGTCCGTTAGTGTAGGTGGTACCATAAGTCAATGTAGGCGGTACCTTAAGTCAGTGTAGGCGGTACCATAAGTCAGTGTAGGCGGTACCTTAAGTCAGTTAGTGTAGGCGGTACCATAAGTCAATCAGTGTAGGTGGTACCTTAAGTCCGTTAGTGTAGGCGTTACCATAAGTCAGTGTAGGCAGTACCATAAGTCAGCTAGTGTAGGCGGTACCATAAGTCAGTGTAGGCGGTACTATAAGTCAGTTAGTGTAGGTGGTACCTTAAGTCAGTTAGTGTAGGCGGTACCATAAGTCAGTGTAGGCGGTACCTTAAGTCAGTTAGTGTAGGCGGTACCATACGTCAGTTAGTGTAGGTGGTACCATAAGTCAGTGTAGGCGGTACCATAAGTCAGTTAGTGTAGGCGGTACCATAAGTCAGTTAGTGTAGGCAGTACCATAAGTCAGTTAGTGTAGGTGGTACCTTAAGTCAGTTAGTGTAGGCGGTACTATAAGTCAGTTAGTGTAGGCAGTACCATAAGTCAGTTAGTGTAGGCAGTACCATAAGTCAGTTAGTGTAGGCGGTACCATAAGTCAGTGTAGGGGGTACCATAAGTCAGTTAGTGTAGGTGGTACCATAAGTCAGTGTAGGCGGTACCTTAAGTCAGTGTAGGCGGTACCATAAGTCAGTGTAGGCGGTACCTTAAGTCAGTTAGTGTAGGCGGTACCATAAGTCAGTCAGTGTAGGCAGTAACATAAGTCAGTGTAGGCGGTACCTTAAGTCAGTGTAGGCGGTACCATAAGTCAGTGTAGGCGGTACCATAAGTCAGTTAGTGTAGGCGGTACCATAAGTCAGTGTAGGCGGTACCATAAGTCAGTGTAGGCGGTACCATAAGTCAGTTAGTGTAGGTGGTACCATAAGTTAGTGTAGGCTGTACCATAAGTCAGTTAGTGTAGGTGGTACCATAAGTCAGTGTAGGCGGTACCTTAAGTCAGTGTAGGCGGTACCATAAGTCAGTGTAGGCGGTACCTTAAGTCAGTTAGTGTAGGCGGTACCATAAGTCAGTCAGTGTAGGCAGTACCATAAGTCAGTGTAGGCGGTACCTTAAGTCAGTGTAGGCGGTACCACAAGTCAGTGTAGGCGGTACCATAAGTCAGTTAGTGTAGGCGGTACCATAAGTCAGTGTAGGCGGTACCATAAGTCAGTGTAGGCGGTACCATAAGTCAGTTAGTGTAGGTGGTACCATAAGTTAGTGTAGGCTGTACCATAGGTCAGTTAGTGTAGGTGGTACCATAAGTCAGTCAGTGTAGGTGGTACCATAAGTCAGTCAGTGTAGGTGGTACCTTAAGTCCGTTAGTGTAGGTGGTACCATAAGTCAGTGTAGGCGGTACCTTAAGTCAGTGTAGGCGGTACCATAAGTCAGTGTAGGCGGTACCTTAAGTCAGTTAGTGTAGGCGGTACCATAAGTCAATCAGTGTAGGTGGTACCTTAAGTCCGTTAGTGTAGGCGTTACCATAAGTCAGTGTAGGCAGTACCATAAGTCAGCTAGTGTAGGCGGTACCATAAGTCAGTGTAGGCGGTACTATAAGTCAGTTAGTGTAGGTGGTACCTTAAGTCAGTTAGTGTAGGCGGTACCATAAGTCAGTGTAGGCGGTACCTTAAGTCAGTTAGTGTAGGCGGTACCATACGTCAGTTAGTGTAGGTGGTACCATAAGTCAGTGTAGGCGGTACCATAAGTCAGTTAGTGTAGGCGGTACCATAAGTCAGTTAGTGTAGGCAGTACCATAAGTCAGTTAGTGTAGGTGGTACCTTAAGTCAGTTAGTGTAGGCGGTACTATAAGTCAGTTAGTGTAGGCAGTACCATAAGTCAGTTAGTGTAGGCAGTACCATAAGTCAGTTAGTGTAGGCGGTACCATAAGTCAGTGTAGGCGGTACCATAAGTCAGTTAGTGTAGGTGGTACCAAAAGTCAGTGTAGGCGGTACCTTAAGTCAGTGTAGGCGGTACCATAAGTCAGTGTAGGCGGTACCTTAAGTCAGTTAGTGTAGGCGGTACCATAAGTCAGTCAGTGTAGGCAGTACCATAAGTCAGTGTAGGCGGTACCTTAAGTCAGTGTAGGCGGTACCATAAGTCAGTGTAGGCGGTACCATAAGTCAGTTAGTGTAGGCGGTACCATAAGTCAGTGTAGGCGGTACCATAAGTCAGTGTAGGCGGTACCATAAGTCAGTTAGTGTAGGTGGTACCATAAGTTAGTGTAGGCTGTACCATAAGTCAGTTAGTGTAGGTGGTACCATAAGTCAGTCAGTGTAGGTGGTACCTTAAGTCCGTTAGTGTAGGTGGTACCATAAGTCAGTGTAGGCGGTACCTTAAGTCAGTGTAGGCGGTACCTTAAGTCAGTTAGTGTAGGCGGTACCATAAGTCAATAAGTGTAGGTGGTACCTTAAGTCCGTTAGT